CTGAATAGGTTTCGTCCAAACCAAAGAACTTGTTCAGTGTTTCCCTTCAGTGGCAAAACCTGAAAACCTTTTTTTCCTTTTGGGTTCTCCAGCCCAAACAACAGGTGTATATATGCACAGCTCTAGCGGGCAGCACTTCTCTTACTACACTATCTTCCCTGAATGACATGGAAGAGTCAGCAAAGCAAGTGAATGCCAGTCTCCCCTCAGCACTGACTGGAGTCCCTAGGGTCAAGGCGGGGGAAAAAGCACTTTCCTTGAAACTGTTGATCTGTGATGCTCAACCTTTTTGCCTGGTGAACTGGATGGACAGCGCCCAATCCATCCAGGGGCCCGATCCAGTTGATGGGTCTTGTTCCAGCACCCACAGCAAATATGGCAGTGCCCCACCCAGTCATGTGGGGGGAGTGGGGGGCAGCAAGCAGCCCCACCTGGTTTGAGCCACACAAGGAAGGGGGCTTATCCCAGCCCCAACCCAGTCCTGCAGGGAGCAAAGATGAGAGGGGGCAGGATCTGATCCTGATACAGCCGCACAGAAGGAAGGGGGAATAGCCATCCCCAATCTAACTGCACAGGCGGAAGGGGCATGGTGTGGCTCTGACCCATGGCATACAGCTTGGGAATTTGGCATCCAGGGAGGATATTAACTGCCACTGCTCCCCTGCTGCCAAATTTACCAACCCAAGGAGAGCTCCATGTGCCAGATGCCATGGCTCCATGGGTCACAACTGGCCCATGAGCTAGAGATTGAGCACTCCTGCTATAGATGAAGAACTCAGCTGATGAATTGCATGCAGCAGCACCTTGTTACTGCATCCAGATCTGAACTTCCCAAAGTCTTCTAAAGGTAGATTTTACAAACCTCATCAGTTGGGGCATCTCTCTGAGAGGCTGCAGCCTTTGTGGGTTTGATCAATTCAGTAAGAGTGTTTTATCTGCCTTCTGAATTCTGAGAACACTTACTGAAGATTCAAATGCTATCAAAGCCATATTCTGCCCCTGTGTGCCTGCATAAAGGCCATTCCTACTGAATTAAATTTTTCCCATAACCCAAATTTGGTTTAGGAGACACCAGAAAAACTTCAGCAATCATATCACAGTTTAATATAACAATATTTTGGAAGATACTAGAAAATAATGGGGGGAAATTTCGTTAACGAGCAAAAAGATTTAGGGAAATTGAATTCTGTATGACACATAGAAGGCAATAGATACTGTTGCAAAGGGAGATGTTCTTAAAAGTTAAGGCATAAATCAAATCCATATACCTTGACTAAATTGAACTGTGAGAAGTCGCTTTTCTAAGCACATCAAAAAATAGAAGTACACTTCCTTCAACTGCATCAAATCTACTGCTGAGCAGAACGTAAAAATCGTGCATGTAAACTTTAAGATGTGAGTGGGATTGATTATCTCACCAGATGAGTATGTGTAAAAGAGGAAGTACAACTTTCTTCTCTCTCTCAAAACTGCTGCCAAAAAAAAAAAAAAGGTTTGGCGGGGAGAGATGGGGGAAGAAATGGGGAAAAATATTTCAAAACAGACCAAGGGACTAAGATGAATCATACTTTAATAATGGAAGTCTTTTGTATTTCATTGGGAGGAGGAATGGACTCCTAAGGGGTAGACTCTGAAGTCAGTAGCAGTAGGAATTTTCCCTTCTGCTCTAGCTTGCTGCTCAATGCCAGAACCTCTCTCTCTCTCTGTGCAGAAGTTGTAGACCACTGTAGTTTCCAGAGCAGTGCAAGTTCCTCCATTTAGGGACAGTGGTCACCTCCTGGACCTGTGTAATCTAAATTCTAGACTGAGACACCAACAATATCTTTGTATCTACACCTGCACATTGTTCCAATTAACTAGCAGGAACAACAACAAATGCAAGTACAGCTCTCATTAAATACCAGCAATAGGTCCTGAGGGGAATTCCCCAAATGGGCCAGTGGAAAACAAAACAAATCAAGTATTGTTCTCCAACTGAGTAAAAGAAACAAAGAAAAAAAAAGTTAGTTGGACCCATTGTGTAAGATAGGAAAAGCCACAGGATTTTAAAATAGCACCAAGGTAAATATTAAAGGAAATGATTCTAGAGACTAGCACAGTGAGATCCTTGAGTTAGGCTCATACACACTGGCAACGTGAATATAAATGGACAGAATACAGGCACCAGGTGTCTGTTTCAGGTTGGTTAGAAATAATAATTTTAGACAAAACTAGTAAGCCATTTCAATGCATGTGACTAAAGAAGCAACACATTCTTTTGCCTATGTAAAAAAAATCTTGTAACTTATTTGAACAGTCTTAACACCCTCATGCTGTGGAGCAGGGACTTGGAATTTAGCATGGAATGAGGGAGGATGGGGCCTTTGTGCATCAAGAATATGCCTTATACCTCCAGGAAAATCTACTTAAATTTGCCTGAGTTAAAAACCTTTGAAGGAAAAAAATACAGGTTGCACAAGTTCAGTAAAAACTTCTTCAGATTTAGCACTGGATTGCGCAACAATTCCATCATTATTGCTCACAAATTAATGTGAAATCAGTAGACTCTGTTTAACAAGCACTCCAAAAAACTGATGCTAGTTGTCTCAATTAGGACATGTAAAATTTGTTATTACTTTTGACCTTCCTTCTCTATGTCCCAGCTTCACATCTGGGAAGTGAGATAATGCAGTCCGCACTTCACTGGGATAGTGTGAGGATAAGTTAATATCAGATCCTGTGGAAATAAGCATCAAAGAAAGCTCACAAGGGAATGAGTGATTCTGTCTTCAGATTTGGTTTAAATAGTATGCAGTAATTAAAGGCCTGCAACCATAGTTCAGTCCTGACCAACAGGAGTTTCGGTGGATGTATAAAAACTTTCAAGTATAATACATTACCCCTCTGAGGAGATACTAATGAAGGCATTATGCCAAGGGCAAAGGACAATTCCTCCCTTTCAAATGGCACTGGCCCAAGCTGGTAGACTGTAGAGTTGCAATATGGTTGTGCATAGAAAGGCTGCTTTAAAATGTTTTTTGGAGGTTCATTATTGGTTTCCATACCCCTCACCCCCCTCCTAAATCCTGCAGAATGAAGTCATAATAATTAAAGCACCCAGGCTCTACAGATGGATAGAGCTGAAAAAACTGGGACTTGCTGAAACATTCCTAAACTAGTTTTTCTCGCAATAGCTGACATCTGTCCAATTCCTGTGTTGCTTTGTTGTTCAGGCATGTGACTGTTTCAAACTCATTCCACTAAAGCTTTTAAACTCCTCTCCCCGACTCTCTCATTTCCTATATATTTGCAGATTTTATTTACCTTATTTTTTCACAAATCATACTTACCTTTCTACCTAAAATTAATTATTGAAAATTGTGTCTTAAGTAAGGAAACTTATTCTGAACAGTTTGGTTAAAGTTAATTATTCTTTCTTTGGTTAAAGAAAATTATTCTTCTTTTTTCTGCCTTCCCAAAACAAGGCATGTGTCTTATTTGAGCATATGTGATATGCAAATAAATGGTTAAATAAATATAATTTCACACACACACACATCACATCAAAATATTTTATCAACCTGCCACAGATGGTTCCTGTCCTTTGTTAAATCAGAGGTAGCACTAATTGACAGGCCCCTCGCTCTCATTCTAGTATAATATATTATGCTTGTACTTATTGCCTTTTTTCCTGAAAAAAGATACAGAAGTGCAGGTACTTATTTTGTGTCTACATGATACCAGTGTCCAATTGCTCCACTTCTGCTCTTAAGTTATCACTCTAAAAAATATTATATGATGTAGTGTGCACAACATTAATGATATATGATTTCATTATATTATGTTGTCTTCTTTTTATTTTAGCTCTGGAGTTTTACTTCTGTTTCTCTATGTTCTGAGAACTGGTAAGTCAAGAAAATGTTATGTTCATTATAATCAAGTTTAATATAAGCCTCTGAATATGCAGAGTATGTTATGTGTACAAAATAAAATCTAAACTGTAGTGTTGCAACAGCTGTCCTAGGGCTTCCTCAGTATAAGGCTTTTGTAAGATTTGTATTCAATATCACCCCCCAAAAATTGTGGACCCAAAACTAAATTATTTCCTCAAGGTCAGGAAATTTGTGGCAGAGAAGAGAATAGATCCTCTCTCACAATCCCTGGATTGCCCTCTTGCTCATCTTTGATGGAATTAAAATCAGTATAGTCATAAAGAAAAAATAATATTCAGTGTAGTCATAAAGAAAAAATAATATTCATTTACTTATAAGCAATTATCTTGCTTTGACAATATAAGTATTATATTTCATATCATCTGGTATACAGGATACTTGAAAGCAGCAACTTAATTTACTAGATTGGGAATTTTGTAACTTTTGTTTCCCCTCTCTCACTTTTATACCTCTATAGTTATTGCAGTGGAAGAGAACGAAGTCACCAGTATTGTTGGAAATGCAGCTGAATTGCGTTGCATCTATTCAAAGGAAAATATAGACTTAAGTCAGCTACGAATTTATTGGCAAATAGCTGATGATCTGAAAACATGTCCAGTAGTACATGCATTAATTCTTGGTGAAGACAATCAAAGTGACCAGTGCAACAATTTTAAAGACAGGACTCGGTTACTGAAGGATAAACTTGAAGATGGCGATTTTTCCCTGCTACTGTTAAATATCACCCCAAGAGATGAACACACATACAGATGCATAGTGCAGAAGAAGATGGACAAAGTTTTCAAGGTCGACTATGATACGGCTGTGGTTCTCAGGGTAGCAGGTAAGGAATGGAATGCTAAAAAAACCCAAGATTTACATAGATACCACAGAAGGGCCATTTATTATATAACACATTAAAGATGAACTCTTCCTAGGCCCCAGATGTTGGTAGTGGTACCACTACATAAACTTTGTTCCTTAGAAGAATCCAAGCTTTTTAACTCGAATGTTGTATTGCTTGGGCTACAAACAAGCATCACATTTGTCCCAGAATAAACCATTTTGTCCTGGGACAAAAATGCAATCATTCAGATGTCCATGCCCATTGTCCTGGGATAAATCCAAAAAAGTTTGCAAGAGTGATGTCCCCAAATATTTCTGTTTCAGGACAAACGCAGGCACAACTTGTCTAGGGACAAATATAACATCTGCTCCCTGCCAAGAAGCTATGTAAAACAAATAAGAAGAAAAAAATACACACACATCCATAGTTCTCCACCTTTTGAAGTACAAGCTTTTTGGCTTTTCCTTCCCTAAAATCTTCATGTGAGGGAATGCAGAAAGCTTAGGATAGTTACACAAAATTTCTGCAAGGTTAGTAGCAAAAATCTGTTTCAAACTGGTATCTTGGCCAAGTGCCAGCTGTAGGTATTGATATTTATCATCAGAGGACTATTCTCTTTAGTGACCTTCCAAAGCCAGGTATTACCACCTGTGGCATGGCCAGCTCACCTGCTTCCCAACCCTCTTCTCAGAGCCAGTTGTGATACAAAACAGTGTATGTTGGGGTGGAGAGTAAAAAAAAAAAAAAATTCCTTTCTGAATCAGTTGCAAAAACTTTACGGAAATCCATTTTAATAAGGATATGGGTAGGAGAAAATTCCAGTGCATATACAGAAAGAGCCCAAAGTAATGATCTTCAGTTGTCTTTTTACTTTATGATAACTGCAAGTTTGTAACCAAATAAAACAAAAAATAATATGCCCTACTTTGGGATTTTGACTTGCTACTGATACATAACTTTGTAAACATTATACTGTAATGAATCATTACAGCAGATTTGCCTTAATTATTTAGTAGCTTTACTGCGATGCATTTCCCTTAGCTCCTAACCAAAGTAAGAAGGTTTTATTTTTTTAAAAAGCCCCCAATTATAAATGTCCCTAATCCTACCGTGATACACGTGAAAAGACACCTCTCTCTAAGCAGAGCCTTACTGATTTCAGTTGGGCTTTACTGAAGTTAGTAGAGCTCTGTTGAGGTTGCAGAATCAGGACTTCGAACAGTAAAATTGAAAATTAAATCTGTAACCATCCAATTTCTTTCCCTCTGCACTTCCTGATTCTCTCCAAGATAAATCCTGGTTCTTAGTGTGCAGTACCTGTGTCATCTAAAAGACAGAATTATCCAGATGGAAAATACTTACTGAAATGAAGACATTTTGGAAGCAAAGTGGGAATTTATTTGTAAAGAGTTGTTTGTAACATATTGCAATGCTTCATTTGTTAATCCAATCAATGCTTAATTATACACAGTCATGTATTGCAAAAATAACTCATGGGGAAGCAGTAACTAACGTGGAACAAAAGCCATTGGTTCAAAATTCCTTTAAAAAAAGACTATAGGGAAGTGTGCAGAAAGTCTGGATTGTTCCCCCTAGATCTGCACAAAAGAGATGTGCCAAATCCACATAACCAGGCAGTAACCTGCAGAAACCTATTTATCTGTGTGTAATGGAACTGTACTACCAGTGAGCTGGAGCAGGGAGCTGGGGTGAGGGGGCAGGAGGCAGTAGGATGTGGATGGGCCTGGCCTCTAGCAGTTCTTCGAGTTCAAAGCTGGGTCTTCCTTTGTACAGCTCTGTGTGTCCCTCTCCACCTGACCACACAATGCTGGAGAGCTCCACAAGGAGAGCTGTTAGGGCCTGGAACCAACGATCTATAAGGTCCCTTCCAGCCCCTAACATCTATGAAACTCCTTGGAGACGCATCTCAATTATCTGCATGGTGGTGGAGTAGTTCGAGTTAGCTCTGAATCCTATTGTAAATGCTATTGAAATGCTTTGTCTTGCCTTCTTCCCCCTTCAATAAGTCAATAATACCTTCAACTTAGTGTCCATACAGACAGATATGAAGGTCCAAGTTATGAGGAGTTTAAAATCCTCACAACCAATTTGCATCACATCTTTGTCTTTGTAAAAGATAAATTATAAAGTGCTGATGAGTATTTCCTTTTCAGCAAATTACAGCCAACCAGTGCTACATGGACCAACAGAAAGCAGACCAAACATTGAGGAAGAGATTACATTTACTTGCAAGTCTAGCGGAGGCTATCCAGAACCAAAAGTTTATTGGACAAATGAAGACAACATCTCCCTCCCTGAACCAAATATGACAGTCATCCAGGACCCTGATGGCACATACAGCGTTTTCAGCACACTGAAGATTAAATCAACTTCTAAGATGAAAATAGGATGTTCCATAGAAAATAGGGTACTACAGCAAAATCTAACTACACCCAGTAAGATATTTAATAATATTTTACATGCAAGAAATGTATACACATGTATAAGCATATACACACACCAGTATATTCATTTTCAATAAGAAGCAAACTTATTAACATGATAATCTAAACTAGCCTGTGATCATCTGGGCTACTAAAATTATTTTGTTTTTATAGCCTGAGTTGGTATAGAATTAAAGTATTTCTGTGACATCACTATTTTCTTTAAATGCAGCTAAATGCCCCTTCAAGTATTTTGAAACATCCCAATTGTAGAAGCTCTTGGTCTCTGGCATATTTTGGAGTCACTCTGGGTTTTTTGCCTTCAGCTCCCACAAAACCCAAACAGAGTTGAAACATGATAGATGGTTGCCAAACCAAGAACATTTGAGGAAGCTTTAGAATATGTTTCTCTAGCCCATATTAAGATTCTACCATGTTTTACAACCACTTTCAGATTTGTTCCTTCTGTGGCTGATTTTGAAGTGATGTGTTCAATCCCAAAACCTCATGACCATACAAACATACACCATTTAAATTAAGTCTGTAAGAGAAGTCCAGTCATATTCAGCCAAAAGAACAATAAATCATGGATCACGTAGATGATGGATTATTTATGGCAAATGGAAGCATTTAGCAATAAGAAGAATAATTAGCTGTTTAGTATCTCACAAAACAGGAAAACAAGTGGCAGTGCGAGAGTACAAGATGAGCTGTCCATGAGAAGGTGGGGAGAGGATACAATCATTGTTGCACGAGGGACCAGAAATCACTGCAGCCTCCTTATAGCCCCCCTGTCCTACTACACCCACTGGGCCATCTTCAGTACCTGCCCTTTTAAAGGCAAAGGGCAGCAGCAGCCAATCTGTTCATCCTAGCAGGTCCCATGAGGAAAGGATGGCACTTCTTATAGCATCCTTCTGTCGCAGATTTTGGACCGCATTCAACAAAGTACCCATTATTAACCATAATCCCAGAGACAGCCCTAGATTTAAAAGCGTTGGGAGTTAAAAATGGGAATAATTATTGTCATCTCCTAAAGAAGACAACTCTTTGCACTGAAGATGCCTTAAAAAAGAATTGTCCAAGATCTGGTCCATGAGCTGCATCCAGGCCATGAAGCTGTGTCATCTGGGCTGGGGGCTGGCCACCAGGCCAGGAATTTGGCAGCAGGGCAAGTAAGAGAACTGCTGCCAAATTAACTGCTGCAGTTCTCAGAGCTAAAGCAGCCACTACTTGTCTCACTGCCAAATTTTCAACCCACAGCCTCTTTGCCACTGCTTGACCCACCACCAAATTTCCAGTCCTGCAGGCAGCCCCATGGGCCATGTGACATACCCCCAGCTCCAGATCTGGCTAGATGAATTTTGACAACTCTGCTTTAAAATTTTGGATGTGAGTTTCATTACAGCTACAGGAAATTACTACCACCAAGGATCTCATCTTCATTTGTGTTGGGAGAGAGGGTGGGAAGGGGTGAGTAATTCAAAGTACACCGATTACTCAAACAAAATCTTCAAAAACTAGTTCAGTAGGTTCCTGCTTCAGAAGAGCAAACCCAAAATAGCAATCAGTTTTGGCAGGGTTAGCAATTTTTTTGTCCCTTTTAAGATGATAATCCTGCATGTATTTTATAGAAGTTACATCACTAGTACCTTCTAAAGAAGGAAAATTTGTTCCTATTATTGTAATAATAGTAATAATTTTAAAAATCAACCACTTGGGAAGAAATTTTGCATTGCTAAAAACCACCAGAGGGGACTGGGACCAAAGCTGCATGTATGAGTGGCATACTAGCCTAGAGACATTATTGTTGTTGAAGTTTAATATATAAAGCTATAATAATACTAATCATCTTTTGTTTATCAAATGGGATTGAAGTTTGATAATTTACTACTTTCTGCATTTTTTTAAATTCCATTTCAGATTTTGAGAAGATAAACCAAAACCAAATTGAAATAAATGAGCCTGACCCCAGTCCAAATAAACCAGATGCTAAAGTTATAAGCATTGTCATTATTGGCACGTTGATAGCTGCGCTAGTTGGTTTAACTTGCTTGCTTTGGAAAAGGAAGTCCTGGCGACAGGCATCGTATACAGGTAACTAAACCACTAATCTGTTTGGTCAAATCTGAATAATTCTCTTTCATTTGCTAAAACTCTGCAAGTCGCACAGGTTGTCATTCATTTATAACAAAGAGCTCTTTATTTTTTAGTGGAACCAATTCGTAAAAAGTGCCAAATTGACAAATCTTCTCATCTATTTAGTTCTTGCTTCTCTGTAAGATTATCCATGGGAAAGCTGTCATGATGATATGGTGAAGTGGAGTAGCATTAGGTGGACAGTATTTCATTATGAACTATGCTGAGCTTGCCAACTCATTTAACTGAGAATAAATCAAACCAAAATTAAAAGTCAGTCTTGGTACGATTAGAATCAGTGACTCAGATTCAAGTTTCTAGATCCTAATACAGGTTTCCAAAACAACCAGTTTCATACAGTATCCTAAGCTAGCAGCAGTCATTTCTGACTGTAATTGCACAGCCACACACACAATTGCTTGTATTTCTGTAGTTGCCCCTATGTGAGCCTATCACCATTTTACAACATAGAATAAAAATAGCTCCAGTAGTGATCTTGAGATCTAGACAGTATATATGCTGGCATTAGTGTATATATCAGAAATACATGGTAAAGATATTTGTGACACTCATAGCCAAAATTGTAGATATGCAAGGGAGAGCATGTGAGAGAGGGAATAGAGAGAGCCTTCCCTCTTCTGCTTGGGTAGGGCCTAGATACGGTTTCAATCCAGATAAGAACTTTTTCTGGCAAGCATCATTATGTATTTGAAAGGGATGGAGGAGAAAGAAGGGACCTGGCTCTGCCTCATTCTGTCACAACTGAACTTATTCAGAGTTTTCAGTTTCTATAAAGGCACAACACTTATCAGTGCCTTCCGTAGGAAATGACTCAAAGGCATTTCGCCCCTTGGTGCAGAGCTGCAGCTAAAAGCCATGACGCCTTACTGAAGCATAGGGACTCTCTTTCCCCATTCTCATCATCTAAACTTTAGGAAATATTAGCAATATTAGCCAACTAAGGCCAGGAGGAATTGACAAGCCAGACGGTCCCTGGCCCAATAATTTTGTACCGCAAGAAGATGTGTGATGTTTAGAGAAAAGTCATAAACTAGTTATGACAGAGAAGCTATTGGACAGGAAATTTGCAGAGTCTTTGTATGCATTTGTAGAATAGTCTTAATACATTCATGCTAATGAGGCTAGGAGGGCAACACACTGAGACTTCTGCTAGCTGTGTGATATTTCGCTTGCTTTCCTGTCACCCCATCCTCCTCTTCCATTGGTTTTGCCCACCTGTTGCATCTTGTCATAACGTAGACTGTAAGCAGGGACTGTCTTTCTACTGTTTGCCTGCCTAACTCACTGGAGTGTTGGTCCTTGACAGATGCTCCTCAGTTCTCCTGAAGCTCAGATAAGAGGGAAGAGATGACTCACATACCTAAAATGCTGTATTTCTTTTAACAGATGTCCAACAAAATGAAGAAGGAACACAGCGCGATGGTAAGTAGTAAAAGATCAGACATACCATTATCATAAACACCTCCAGAACTACTCAGCTTCAGAGCTTCAATTCCCTGCAAAACCTTTGAATATTCATTTTTAAATCTGTACAGGATTAAACATCTGAATAATGTACAGATTTACATTTTTTCTTAAATTGATAGTAATACCACCTGTGCTACACCTACAGAGTTGGCAGAATTATAGCAAAGCTGGTTGGAACTAAAGTACAAAGATTTGCAGCATAGAAAATATATGCTGCTGGAACAGCACACAGACACCTACCACCATACATACGTTTGACTTGACCTATCGCACCATAAAGTGCTTTGCTTTATATTTCTGAAAAATATGAACCAGCTCATCAGGTCAGATATTCTCCCAGGCCAGCTGGACCAGCTGTGTTTGTTTAATATTGACAGGCATTAAGCTATTTCCTGTTTAGTATCCATTTCAAAATAATGGGTTTTCTCCTTCAGATAACAATAAATCAATTATGTAATATAAGCAGTCTACTTAGAGTCAACTTTGTCCTCTCCTCCTGGCAAGTGCTCTCATTAAACTCCAGGACCTGGTCAATAAGTGAAAAACGACTTTCACCACACTAACCCCATTAATGCCAGCAACAGGAAATATTTCTATTATTTTTTTTATTAAAACAGAGACCTCCTGCCCTAAAGTTTGAATCCCCTCTATTCAGTTTGCAGCACCAGCTGCAGTAAGAAAGGTGGTACAACATCTGCTACAGGGTTCAGGGCTATCTCAAGCTCTTCCTAGGCTGAGCTGATGCCCCTGTGCCTGGATCTGCCAAATCCACCAGTGTGTATCCAAGAAGCCCTAGCTCTAGGTTTTCAGTGTAGATGCATAATGCAGATGAAACACTCAAGTGAAACAACAATATGGGCAGAGAAGACTGTCAATTCCACTTTTTGGTGTTAAAGCAAAACATGTCTGCTTTAGCAATTTAATTTTCATCTTTGAGGACAGTAACCCATGAATGACATGAAGATAAGAGTCTTGGCTACACTGTAACAGAAAAGAATTGTGAAAGGCTTTTTCTTTCCATTTCAGAGAAGGCTGAAACTAAACAAGGGCAATGCAGGTCTCTGTTTGGGGGAGGAAGGAGGGAGGGACCTTTCATGTTTGTAGGCAGGGATGCAGATTAAGGCTTTGACTCTATGGTGGGATGTGCACCAGTTGGCACCACTGAAATCCTAAGGCTCAATGCAAGTTCAGGAACTCACCCATGGGATTCAGTTGTAACATCACCTGAATAGAACCATAACTTCTATCATCCTGTTCCATTCACCAGTGATGTAAATTAAAAATGCATTAATAGTTTTGTTTTGTAATAAAGATAATTTTATCTTGTCTTTGAAGCACCTGTGTAAGCAGAAAAGATTGAAACAACTTGAGTGACCAGTGATGTGTCAAGGAAAGCACCATTACTACCTTGAAGCCATGGATGATAGCATCACCTGAAATATGAGTGTCACATTGTTTCCTTAGTGTGGACTAGCAGTGATGGCAAAAGACATCTTCAGTGGAAAAGACAATGAAATCCACCTGCTTTTGTTCTGCCACTTTTAATCAACTGTAGCATGAAAACGTTAATTAATCATTGCAAACAGTCCTTGGAGATGACTAGAGTTTCAAGCACGTGTTGGTGAAAGGAACAGTGTTGACACACAGGAATTGGTGCCAAAATGGTGGGGAAAAAAAATCAATAACAACCGACCATTTATATCATCTGTCTCAGAGTTCCTTGTGAACAGAAGCAGCCATGTTCAGCAATGCTGAAGTTCTCCCTGTCCCTCATAAACTTCTCAAAATGACTACTGACCAGGAAGAGTGGCAGCTTGGAACAGTAAAAACTGTAAGACTTGTATAAAAGCAAACTCTGTTGCCTCTTCTGTTTTCACCATTTCTTTGGTGCCTCCTCTCCCAACTTCATTGTTTGCATGTGGTTCTGTACACAAATATGCAAAAAGCTTCCAGCTTCTGCATGCAGGGACAGAGTCTGCTGTACCTTAGGAAGCCTTTTTTAAATTATAAGAAATGTTTGCACTCTGTTTTAGAGAGAATTCTGTCAAAAAGGGAGTTTTCCAGTTGACTGAGCACAGATATCTCATCTGGTTCACAAGAGTTCAGACGAGCAGTGCTAAAGGAATACCATCTTTGTTGCATTGATGTCAGCAGTTGTCTGTGCAGATGGGACCCTACAGATGGGACAGAAATCTCAAGCATGGCTGTCTTCCCTTTGGTCCTGTCAAGATCTAACCACTTTCATATTGGATTCTAGGACACTGGAGAGTTAAAATAGACTCTTTCTTCCCCTCCTCCCCCCCTCCCTCCCCCCCCAAAAAATCCAGAAGTGCAAAAAATATTGCATTGGCCATTGATATAGCACAAATATTAATGACCAAAATAAGTGAGTGGAGAAGATCAAAAAGGATGCGTTGACTTGTGTTGTGCTGAATCCGTAAGGCAGAAGTTGATCGTATGACCCCTGTAATGCTGCTAGGATCAGGGGATCTTCCAAGTGCAGGATGCAAAAAGGCTTTAAGGTTTTGAAGAAGGAGTCTTTTCTACAACTTAGTTCATTTGGTTAGGGCAGTTCTTGCCATCCTTACTTTTCACAAAGCCTTTATATCTATTTTCACTAGCAGTCTATGATATTTGCTAGTCTGTTTTGCACCACCTTTGCCACCTGAATGAAGTCAACCCAGACTTGTTTTGTCCAGGCTCCTATCAGGATACAGCAGATCAGCACTCTGGTTTTTCAGCTTAAAAGCAGACTTCACCTTCCAATTAAAAATGAAAGCATGAGTGATGATCAAATTCCATCACTGTGAATATTATAAAAACGCTCAATGATTGTATGATGAGTAGTTTCTATTGAAGCAATACCCAAAACTAGAATAGTGCAATAACTGCAAGTTAAAACAGCTCTGGTCTGCTCTGTATGTACTGAAGCCACAATTTAGCAGTCACTTCAGTGCAAATGAGGCTTATTCCAACCCTGTTAAAATCTGAGTTTTTGTAAGATTCTGTGCTGAAATGACAGTGGGAAGAACAAAGGTCTTATGTATAAAAAAAAAACAGTAATTTTTTTAAATTGACCTTGTGTATGAACTGTGAGGAAAGTGTAATGTGTATCTTCTGCCTAAGGTACATGAGTAAGTCTGACACATTTATGACTAGATAAAAAATGCTTTCATTTTGCCACCCACCTCTCAGATTACAATATATCCTCGTGCCTGGGGTTGTGGACCCAGTCTCAGTATTTTGCAGGTGAGACTGTAAGAGTGCCTTAAACTACTTTTGCTCCTATACCTTAAAGTAGACATTGGGTATTTTCAGCAATCCATGGTCTATTTGTGTTCCATTTTACTGACTTCTAAATATAATGTGTTTGATAAAAACTATAGCCTTGCACTAGGCTCCCTAAAATGTGAATCATATCTATGCTTCTGTGGAATACATTATTTTCTTAATGGTTCAGACAGTTGGTTTGTGTTTTTGTTTTTTTAACATCAGCCCCCATAGTGCGATTTTTGACATATGTGTGTACCAATTCTAATAGCAGTTTTCCTCTATATTTCTTGGTCACAACAAGCTACACCTTGTATTTGGGGATGTAAGGAATGAACAAAGCACTGCTCCTGGAATGCATTGTTAAGCTACTTCAGACTATTTAATTCTATTTCATTACTTTGCAACTTGTAAGATGTACACCAGAATGTGACAGCTTGCTCTCAGTCTATTTTGCTCTTGATCTTTGTTTGGTTCTGGATTATGTCTTATTTTTACAAGGCAAATCCCAGGCTACAGTTGTCTGTTATGATCTAAAAGACTAGGAAGACTGGCAACCTCTACCAACATTGTTTTTGTTGTCCATGTCTACGTTTCAAATAAAACATACTTTGGTTCTGACTGTCATATTTAGCCAAAAGTCAGCATCTGAAAGACAAGTGTTTCAATTTCTAATGGGCTCTAATAGAGCAACAGGCTCACCTGTTTCTGTTTTCAAAACCACTCCACAAAAGTACTTTAATACTGCTTTATGAAGTCACCAGGCATGGAGTGATCAAGACAGTGCAGACACAACAAAGCTTCCTCTATTATCCATAAGAAGCAAGCTTAATTAAAATAAGAATTTAATTTTAACTCCATGTTACAAGCAGGTTTCTGTCTGATGTTGAAATCGTTTGACTGAGGGACAGTGAATAAGAAATGCAAGAAATTCTCACCTGAAGCAGCTCATAAAATTTATTCTAAGAAACTGTTTCCATTTCACAGAAAATGAAAGGGTTTTATTGTGGGCTGACTGGTAAACCACAACTGGAAAGCCCCTTGAGAAAGTGAGCATTGCTACTCAGTGGTCCAAATCCATCCTTCCTCTAGTCAAATTCATTATTTGACTGTTTACCTATAGATCTGAAATATCTTTTTAACTCAAAAATTCTTTTTCTTCATCCCCCTTTCACAACCAAGTGTCTAAAGATTGTCAGTAACTATATGCAGCATGTCAGAAGGATTAGAGTTTGTTTTTCCATTGTAAATCCTCTGTGTACTTGTGCTTGATGTTGCAACAGAACTTCACTAATTTCACAGGGTGCAGGATCAAACCATTGTGCAGAGTGTTTCATCAGAAACTCTTAAAAGCACTGAACATCATACCCATTTTGTAACAAATATCTATCACTGCACTTGTGTTCTTTTAACTTAAATATCTGATCTACTCCATATCCAGTTACAGAAGGATATATAAATGTAATGGCTGTAGGAGTTCTGGTTGTAGCTATGCTAAGCTACAGTAAGCAAAAAGTGCCAAAAAGAAGCTTGGGAAAACAGGCCTCATGATGGCTGGATGACCTGATAAGAAAGGAAAAAAGTAAACATACTAATGAGCAAAGAAACACCTATTCAAAGAAGGGAATAAGAAAAGAGTGGGTGGAAAAAACTCAAGGACAAATATAAAAAAGTAACAACTCATCAATGAGGCCTCTGTAACAAAAAAATGAAATGTAGGTATGTAAACTTTGCAAAAAAACCACATTAGAGATGAACATCTCAGCAGAGAGAGGGGGGTAAGAATTGATGGGATGGGGGAGGAGGCACTCAGGGCGCTGACAGAAGTGATGTTTTGTTGGGTGATCAGCCCTTGAAAGTGCTCTACAGCCATGCCCTGGCAGAAGCACACAGCTGCAGAGCACTTCAAAAGTGTCCAGTTGTGCAGTGCAGCCCAGTCCTGCCCCTGGTGCTATCTGCAGAATGGGAGAGGGAGGGAGCTGCAAATTGGGGTTTGCCCAGCCTGTGCTGGGTGGATCGGAGCCCCCTGTCTTGGGGCACCCATGGATGGCTCCAATCTACCGCCCCCCAGCACAGACTGGACAAACCTCAGTCTGCAGCTCCCTCCCTATTTCTTCTCCCCCTCCCATCCTGCAGACGGCACTGGAACTGAGGATGGGGGGCAGGGCTAGTGGAAAGGCTGTAGCTAGGCAGCCTCTCAACTGGATCAGCTCCAAAGTGGAGTTTAATACCCCTCCCCACCAAACAGTGAATGTCTAATGGGGGAAGGGGAGGGTGTTACTGTAACTCATAGTGCTTATGAAGCACAATGAGTTATAGCAGAGAACTGCATATCTGTCAGCACCTTCAGGTATAAATATAGGCACTATGAAATTTGTCTTGCATAGCTTTGAAACCCTTTGCAAGCATTTGAAGAGCAGCTCCCATGTAAAGTAGTACTGTTGCATAGCACTGTTGGCTCTGATCGCACAAAGCACATATCAGTGTAAACAATTCAAACTTTTTCCATTAATCACATGCTCAACAGTTTTGCTGGAGCAGAGACTTAGTTACCTACTTTAGGCCCTATTCCACCAGTTCTGCAGTGGTGCGCCTTCATGTCTGTACAGAGCCCAACTATGCTCTGAACTACCGAAAAGACAGTATATATATTTACTCTTTATCATAGTATCCAAGCACCTTGCTCTCTTTAATGTAGTCTCCTAAGCAATTAGAGCATCTTCTAATCCCTTTTCACAGTCATAGAAATAAAGCACAGAATGCAACAGTAGCAGAGCAAGCACTTGAACCCAGGCCACTTGAGCGTCTATACACGTGCTCCGGGGTGAAGCGTGTGTGTGGGGGGGACAGCACTTCAACTAGAGTGGCTCAGAGCAGCGGGGGTGCTGCAACTAAAGCTCGTTCAATGAGGTTTAGTTAAAAGCGCTCCCGCCACCATTTTGAAATGCAGGGATGCTGAATACACGTGAGGCAGAAGTTGCTGGAGCAGCATGACTCTATTAATCAAGTCTGCTCTGACATGTGCTAATTAGCACATGTTGGAGCAGAGCTCCCTCATGTGTATAGGTGCCCCTGAAGCCCCAAACTAGTGCTGAACCACTGAAATATCCTCTCTGTCTGTTTGGACAGGAAAGCAAGAGAGGCATTTCATCAGAAGCTACAAGTCAACACAGTATTGCCAAAAAAGGGGGGTGGGGTTATGCTGCCAAAGAAACTATACTGATCTCTCATTAAATAAAACACTGCTGTGGTTTAAGAAACGAAAGAAAATACACACACATACCCCCTGTGTAGGATGTTTACACACTCACACTCTT